AGAGGAGAGGGGTGTGTGGGGATGAGAGGAAGAAGAAGGGAGGAATGACCATGCCCCTGTGGCCTCTGGGAGTCGCTCCCTCCAAGCCAGGGTGTGAGTGGCCTCCATTCCTCCCAGCACCTCCCCACACCCAGGGGGCAGCTCTCCATGCAAATCCAGCCCTGGGCTGGTTCTCTGCGAGACCTGTCTTGGAGCAGTTTATGTTTCAGGTAGGGAGGAGGAATGCAGAGCAGATGAGCCAAGTGTTAACAATTCTGCTTCCTCAGAGTGCCAGGCCACACAGTGACAGACAGCATTCACTGTCTTCCCTGCAGGTCTGGGCTGGAGGCACAAGACCCACAGCTGCGGGGACTTCAGGTCTCAGGAAGCTCAGGGCATGGGAAAACCACACAGACCTACCTTCCTGCTCCACATACCACAGCCATGCGCACTGTGCCGTGCCATCACCAGATATCTCTCAGTAGGTGACCAGGAGAGATTCTCACTCATGCAAGGGACTTCAGGGGCCTGAGCCAAATGGTTTGCGTGGCTGAGGTACTGTCCTGGGAGTTCTAGGGAAACTGATTCTGGAGCTAAAAAATGATGACACGCTGCGCTGAGAGACGCCGCCCACCCTCCACCTGCTGAGGACTTCAGCTCTCACCTTGTGTAGAGCCTGAGGCCACTCCCAGGGAGGTTAGTTAATTAATTAATTGGAAAGGAGCCAAAAAGGAAGAAAAAAGAAAAATAATAAGGAAAAAAAATGCATCAACAGCCTCCATTTGCAAACACTCTCGGGCTGGATGAATGCAGCATTTTTAGGAAATGAGCAATAATTTACTGTCTTGTTAAAGAGACTGACCAAGGGTGCGGAGCAGAGAGCCAGGCCATGGGGCTGAGAGGAGGAGGAAGGCTGTGAAGGGCTGTGTGCTGCTCTGATGCCTGGAGATGGTCCTTCCTAGAGAGGAGTCCCTGGAGAAGGGAACCCACAGCAGGAACAGGGTCACGTGTCTCTAAATCCTTATGTGGAGCTGGGTTAAGACCCGAGAGCCCCTGGGCTGGGCGTGGTGGCTCACGCCTGTAATTCTAGCACTTTGGAAGGCCGAGGTGGGCGGATCACGATGTCAGGAGATCGAGACCATCCTGGCTAACACGGTGAAACCCCGTCTCTACTAAAAACACAGAAAATTAGCCGGGCATGGTGACAGGCGCCTGTAGTCCCAGCTACTCTGGAGGCTGAGGCAGGAGAAAGGCGTCATCCCAGGAGGAGAAGCTCGCAGTGAGCCAAGATCGCGCCACTGCACTCCAGCCTAGGCAACAGCGAGACACCATCTCCAAAAAAAAAAATAGACCCGAGAGCCCCCAGGAGAGACGGAGAGGCCTGAGGAATGCAGTGACTGTGGAGAGAAGAGGAGGGTGGCTCTGGGGGATGCTACCTGTGAGGGTGGTTAGAGGCCGTGTCCACCTCACTGTAGTCAGGTTGGAAAAGGGGAAAGTGTGTCCATGTGCAGGATGAGTGTCGATATGTCAGCCCTGGGCGCATCACTAGAGACACCAGGCTCACTCTGTGTGGCATCAGATGCTGGACCCAAGTGTGGATGGACTTGGTTGTATCCATCAGGATTTCCAGGCACAGAAAACAGTTTTGACTCCTATGAGTTTAGTCCAGACCCTAGTGGGCTGTGCATTGGGCTCTATTGCCTCATCTGTCTTTGCCTTCCCAAGATGGCAGAGCCTGCCTTGTGTTAAGGCACCACCTGTTCACTTCTCTCTCTCCTGCTCATGGGCATGTCTTACTAAGTGGCAGGCGGCTCCTCCAGGGGCCCCACAGAAGCTTCTTAGTGGGAAGATGCTCACGGTCAAGGTCTCTAGGCCCAGGGGTTTTGTCTTACATGCTACTTATCCGAACATGGCAAGGAGCTAAAGCAGCTTCCACTGCCATGAGTAGGAGCACAGTGAAAATCAGATTCAGTGCAGAGCCCTGCTGTTTGCCTGAGTCTGGGCTGTATCTTAGGAGAAATCAGGGAGGTTTCCCAGCATATTGTATAGTCACCAACATGGAAGCCACTGCTCAGGGTGCAGGTGAGCCTGAGATGCACCCGGGGATGCACAGGTGGGGTGGGGACGGCGAGTCACCACAGGGTGCAGGTGAGCCTGAGATGCCCCCAGGTACGCAGAGGTGAGTTGGGGGTGAGGAGGCTGCCTGAGTCAGCTCAGGGTGCAGGTGAGCGTGGCAGATGCCCCAGGGATGCACAGGTGGAGGGTGGCCGAGTCAGCACAGGCTGGGAGAGGGAGGTTGCAGGCAGAGACAATGGTGAATGTGGGCACCCACCAGTGTAATGCTCATGGAGTCTGAGGCAGAGGAGCTGACACAAGCTGGAAACTGAAGCCTGGTGTCCAAGGCCTGCCGCAACCTATGCAGTGAGAGAGGAGCACAAGGAGTCCAGGATGTGGTGGATTCAGCCCCCGATCCCACCATGGGGCTGCAATGCCCAGGCCTCCTTTTCTTCCACCCTCTCCAGAGAAGAAGTTGCTTCTGCAAACTGTTTCCGTCTGAGACCGCCCAGCCCTCCCTGAGTCCTGGGGCTGGGGGCTGGGATCACACTGCAGACCCAGGATGGGGAAGGTTTGCTTTATCTGTTAAGGGAGCCTTGGGAGGAAGCACCTGCCAAGACCATGCAAAGGTCTCTGTTCAGAGACTCTGCTGGGCCAGAGAGGACACGGCGGCTGAGTCCCTATCGGTGAGCCCAGGGCCCAGCCCCGAGGCCCTGGCTCCTTACTGAGCAGCTGTGTAGGGACCACAGGGCTGTCCCCTCCATGCCTCTCCTGGTCACAGGACACACACTCCACCATGGTACAGAGATCTGACAGCCTAGTTGGTCTCTGCCATTCACCAGTCACTGTCTGCTCGCACATCCACAGTTCCACTCCCAAGCATGGACCTTGCCTTCAGTAGTCAACTCAGAAACCCCAGACACCATTTTCCATGCCAACTGGCCTGCCCACCACTCAGAAAAGCCCTGGACACTGTGCCATGTGGCTGGCCCCTCACTGGGCCAGGCCTCCATGAGGATAAGGAAACATGGGAGGTAGGAGGTCTGGGCCCTGCCCTGGGGAGGGAGAAGGATGGGACACAGGCAGTGGTCACTGAGCAGAAGAGATGGAATGAGCAGAGGATGCTGCCAGGCGCTGAGTATAAGGAATCATATAGCTGAAGCTGTTCATCTGACATATACCAGAAACTAACACAAAATAAGAAAATAAACAAAACCAAACAATCCAACAGAACTTGGGCAAAGAACCGATAGACATTTCTGAAAAGACAGGAAATGAAGTAACAGATAAAGGAAAAGGTTGCCCACATCACTAATCATCACAAAAATGTAAACCAAAGCCATACTAAGACAGTGTCCCCATCCACATAAAATGAATGTTGCCAAAAGCAAAAACAGAATTTTTAACAGGCAATCACCAGCATGGATCTGCAGGCAGGGAACCTCTTAGACACTATGGGTGGCAATGGAAATTGGTGTACACACTACGAGCAATAGTCGGCAGTTCCTCCTCCAACGAAAAATACAACCACTACGTCATCCAGCAATCTCACCACTGGGAAATACAAAGTACATGGATGTATTATGCTCCCTGATTACAAATGACATAGAAGAGCTACAGTGATCCAAACAATATGGTATTGGCATTAACACAAAAATACAGAAAAACAGACACAATGAGGAAGCCAAATACCAAACCCAAATTCATATAAGATGGACACATTTTAAAAAGATACACCCAGGGGATGGGAGACTCTGGGCTGCCTTCAGTCGGGCTGCAGAAGTGTCCTGGGGGGACCTGCAGCTGCCTCTCAACTGGGTTCTGGATGGTTTCTACTCCATGAGGATTTCCAGAGTATCCCTCAGCCACCGTCAGAGTCAGGAGGGCTTCAATGGGGCTGCAACCATCTGTCCCAGCCTTTCCTGTCTGAATGACACACCGCGTGACCTTCGTATACTGCAATATGTAGCTGCGTGTACTGAAAGCGTACAGTTAAGATGACTTGCAACCGATGCTACTCTAAGTCTTCCAGAGATTTTTCAGATATCCCCGGACCAAAACAAACTAGTGATATTTCATGGTTTTGCAAACCTGAACCAACAACTGCACAGAAACAGCTCCCTATGCACCATTAGACACTCTCCAGACTCGCCCCTCACTCACAAATGTAACAAACGAACATGAACTCTGGCAGTCTTCTCTCCTAAGGGCCACTTAACAACCTCTATCGGTCGGGAAGCCTTTGATCTGGGCCAGGCTGCCGACCCACAGGGGTGAATTGTGCCTCTAATGCTGAGTAATGCTTCCCCTCACTGGACTAACCCACACCCTTGCACCAAGAAGGGCCTCCAGGGAAACTGCTGTCTGACATCCAGGAGCCCACGTGGAATGTTCCAGCAACCTGGATGGCCTCAGCTACCTCTAGTACCAGCCTTTTCCTCTGTGGGGCTCCCTTCCTGGCTTTTTCTCGTGCAGACCAATCTAAAGTGGCTGAGATGTCCTGCTCCCTCAGCCTCCCGGGTCACCCTGATGGCATAGGCATGTATCTGCACTCAAGTATGAGGTACCCATAGAACGAATTCCCTGGTGCGGGGGACAATGCATGGGGCCTCCACCCAGCCAGCCCCAGATAAAGAATCCAGCTCTGACACAGCTCAAAGACTGTGCGGTGGACCTGGAGAGACGCTCTGGGCCTGTGTCCTCTTCTGGCTCACTGGATTCTTTGGAGGATGACTGAGACACTGGGCTTAAAGCTCTCAGCCTAGGGCCCAGAATGCCACACGGAATCAAATCAGTGTGACCAGGGACCGAAGTCCTCTCCTTGGCTGGAAATGGGGGATCAGGGTTGCAGAGACAAGCAGCACAGAGCGATGCCTGTGCCATCAGAGAAGGGGCAGGGGATCTGGTCCACCCTGGGCTCCTTAACCTGAGCGCGAGGCCTTGCTGGACCCTGAGCTCACCTCCACCTTGGCAGTCCATTGTGACTGCAGTCCAGTGGGGTCAATGTCTGCCCTGATGCTGGAAACAAGTCCTGGGAGATGCGGAGGGCATCCTGTAGTGGTAGGCAGTCTGGGTGGTCCACAGGTGTGCACTTCAGCAGGTCCTGGTAAGGGATGAGGTGGTGAATTGGGGGCTGTCTGTTTGGGGCTTAATGAGAAGCTCCTGAGCAATGCTCAGTTCTCACCAAAAGAATTCAAGGGCAGGCCCTCAGGGACCCACACTCTTGCCAGCAAAATCTGAACGGAAAATTAGAATCGGAGCAGCAGGGTTGACTCTAAAAGGGCCCGGCTCGCTTTTCTCCCAGCTGCAGTCATTACTCTTTTCCCCTAGCAGAGGCAGCCAGGTGGACGCTCATCTCACCAAGCAGCTGGGAGAGACACCCCTCTACCCACCCTGCAGCTGCTCCAAGGATCCTGGAGACCAAAAGACAACGGTTGGGGAAGTAAGACGTTCCTGCCTGCACCAAGAGAGCAACTGGCCAAAAGCCAAGCTCAGTAGCTAAGCTCTACTGAGGCCTTGGCCCTGTTGGCATGGTTACCACAGGTCAGGCAGGCATACTCAGGGCCCAGGATCCCTCTGCCCAACTTTTCAAATGGTCTGTTCTCAGTGACTCTGGTGCCCTCCCACCCTGGGCTCACTCTTCTGAGAAACCCCTAAGCCCTCTCTGGCCCTTCAGGGGCCATAACACCCATGTGTAGGACCAGGATGCTCTGAGTGACTTACTTGGTCAAGGGGCTGGTACAGCAGAGCTGTTGGGGATGGCAGAAAGGAAAAGGACAATGATATACAAAGAACCACTCAACATCTCAGAGACCAGCTTTGTCCTCCACCTGCCGTGCTCCCCACGTGAACACCTGCTTTCAGGAAGCCAAAGTGGGTCCACAGCAGCCTCCACCTCTGTCCTCACTCCCAGGGTAGACCAAGCAGCAAGAACAAGTGACACACAGTCCTGGTGACCCTGTCCCCTTCCTACCCATGTCTACTCTCCCACCAGACCTGGCTTCTTCAAGGGCTGCCCCAGTCCTGTCCAGGCCTTACCTGGCTCAGAGCAGATGATCCCCTGCACCTCCCACCCTGAATCACACAGCTACACCCAGCACATGCTAGAGGCCCAGCACACTCTGGGTCACATCCAGAAACTCCACAATAGGGGAGGAGACATGCTGTTTCCCAGGAAGGCAGCTCCCCAGGCCTGGTCATTCTCAGACTCCTCCAGTTAAAGGCCGGGCACAGCCAGCTGGGATCACCATGCTTCACTCTGACCCACACGACTGACCTTGCCTCCTCTATGGAGAGACCCCTCCACACAGCCTCAAACCCAGACATAACAGAACGGAAGAGGCTGGATGCTAGGGAGGCCAGCCAGATCTCCACACAAAGGCTCTGCTCTTAAGAAAGAGGCAGACTTAGGGGCAAAAGTTTCCTGAAGCAACTCAGGTCAGGCCTCACATACAAGAGCCCCCAAGAGACTGCCAAGCCACCAGCTCAGCTAGCCAAGAACCCAGGGCCACACCCTTCTGAGACCCAGACACCAAGTGAGGATCGCTGGGATTCAGCAGGAACAGGTGGACGTGACAGCTGGCGGACCAATACTTCCCAACACCCTTCCAGCAAGCAGCTGTAAGTCACCCCTCCCAAGGAGTCACTCCACTTTGGTCCCGCACCTGGATGCCTCTGTCCACGGAGTCATGATCTTTGGCCTCCTGCCATAGGGGCAGTGGGAGACAGGATGGTGGCCTGGGAAGAAGGATCTTAGACTGGGTGTCCCATAGGACCAGGTTGTGACAGATCCCACAGCCAACACTCATGCCCCAGTCAGCCCCCAAACCCAAAAACTTTCCAAAGCCCTTGATATAAATAGCCTGTGCACTGCTAAGCAGACACTTCAGGGAACAATCTGCTGGCTGTGAAAAAGATGCAGTCTCAACAGGGTTCCATGAGCCTTCTGCAAGCAAAGCCTTCTTTGCTTGGATGCCTAGTAAAAGCACTAGGGAAGCTCTTAAAAGATAAAGGGACACAGGCACAGTAGTGCAGGTGTGTAAATGGAGCACTGTGGGAGGCAGAGGCAGGAGAATAGCTTGAGAATAGGACTTTAAAAGACCAGCTGGGGAGGAATAGTGAGACCCCATCTCTGCAAAACACAACAATTAGCATGGCATGGTGGTGCAGGCCCATAGTCCCAGCAACTTGGGAGGCTGAGAAGAGAGGATTTCTTGAGCCTGGGAGGTCAAGGTTGCAATGTCCATGATCATGCCACTGGGCTACACCCCAGGCAACAGCGCAAGATCCTGTTACAATCAAACAAACAAACAAAAAACCAAAGATGCCTATCTCCTGCCTCATCAAATAAACGCAAATCTCTGCAGGGTGACACAGGGTATTAACATTTTTAAATTTTGCCTTTGCTGAAGTAAACGTATAGTGATGGCTGAAAAGTAATGCGTTATGTAAATATACTTCCTATGACTTATTTGTAGCCCTTTCATATCTAGGAATTTCTACAGACCCTCTCTGTTGGCTTCGGAAGCCAGAATGGGCAGGGCCAGGTGTGAGGTGTCCTAGGACACTGAGGCTAGAGCACAGCTCCCAGCTCAGGGGGACCCATGTCTGAGGCTAAGGCACCTAGCTGGGGCTCAGCATATCTTCAGAGGGGAAATCACACCTCAGAACCCCAGAGACTCAAAACAAAGCTCGAGTTCAGCAGATACCTGCCAGTGGGTCCTGGATTGGCTGCCCCAGGGAAAACTGCCATTGCACTGTCAGCTCCCTCCAGCCCTCTCTCAGGTCCCAGCAGGAGTTGGTTTCCCACTAAGCTCAGAGGTCTCAATAAATGGCATGTTGAACCTCAGAGGAGTTATTAATAGGTCTACAGTTACCTGAAGACTCCACCTGACCAGGGCCAAAAATGAGTCCAAGGAGGGCAGCCAGGAAGAAAGCAGGGCAGAGAGGAAACACAGGGAGAAGGGGCCCTGGGACCACGACAGATATGGAGGGAACTAGGGGAACGAGAGCAGCCCTGATGATTGTGCTCCCCACAGCCCCTGCATGCCTGTGTCCCCTGAGAATTCAGGGTGAGGAGCTCACTCTTGCCCTTCACCTGTTCCTGGGCTCTGGCAGGCTGCCCTGCTTCCTGCCCCAGCCTCACCCACTCTCCGCACTCCTCGCCACTGCTGTGGGCAAGCTGATCTCTCTGGTTTGCTGGGCTCTCACTCTCTGCCCAATGGCACTAAGTTAACTTCTTTGCATGCTTTGTATTCTGTGATTAAAAACGGAAGCAATTCTCACTAACGCCATTTCTCAGAGGAGAAAACAGGCACGGGGATGCTCTATGACTTCCTCACGGTCACCACGGTACAAGTGGGAGCTGGGCTTTGCATGGAGGTCTACCCACGCTCCTAAATTTCAGTCGTCCTCCAAGGAAAAGACAGTACCTGTAAAAGCTCAGTAAATGGGGCGGGATTTTCCTCACTAGGGCCTGACCAGGCTGGTACCCTGATATCTAACTTCCAGCCTCCAGAACTGGGAGAAATACAAATCTGTTTTGACGAGCTCCCCAGGCGACAGCTCTTTGCTGTAACAGCCTGAACTGTCCCAGAAGTGCTATTCCATCATCTGTGTCATATTCCATCATTCAGAAGGGAGTCACTAACGCCTCAGTGCTGTCTTTGTGGATGCTGCCCACCCAAGGCTGAGACGAGGCACAGGGTCTGGGTCTAAATAAAATGAGAAGGCACTGGAAGGTGCAATGTCAGAGCAGGATGTCTGAATTTTATTTAATCTCAACCTCTACTGGTGCAGCATGAAAGACGAGGCAGAACAAAAGTGGATTTTCTGAGAACACACTGTGGACCCCAGACGCACTGGAGTTGTATTCCATGCTATCTCTCACCCCTTCTTGTAGTTCTTCCATCTCGAAGTGTATGCTGTATCTACAAGGACCACCACACCATGAGTCTTTAAGATCTATCTCAAACACACCGCATGAGTTCCCCAGGAAGGAGATGCTAGCATAAATCCCATTGTGCAAGCTGGGGAGGCCCCAAAACACCAAAGGAGTTCTCTAGGGTCTCACAACTGCTAATATAAAGGTTTTTTGACCCAGCACTGGCTCCTCAAACCTGGGACCCCGGTTATATCCTAGTCTTCTCTTCCCAAGGTGCTGAAGGAGCACACTTTTGCATAATGGTGAACAGGTAAGGAGTTGATGGGGGAGGGTGAGTGGCCAGAAACCCAGAGGGACCTTTGAGTAGGTCTTATGGAGAGGAGGAGCTTACAGGATGGAACCTACAAGATGTGACCTCACTTTCTTACTGACAGATCCCCAACAGAACTTAGAATTCTGGTAACTAGGCACCCATATTCTAGAGACAGCCCCATTTCCAGCTCACTTGGTAGGCGACGCTCGGGAGAACAACATGTTCTCCTGCTGTGTCCCGACGTGCTGCCGACCTTCTCGTTGCAGAAGAGGCCAAAACGAGACTCTTTCCCGAGAATATAGACATTGGTTCAACCCTCACCCTCGACGCCTCTGGCCCTTTGCCAGAAGGCACCCACAGGTAACACAGGGCCCAGGGCAGGCCCATCCAGTCCAGGCCTCAGCTCTGCCCATCAGGGCAGTGCCGAGCCCCTCCTGATGTGTTTGGGGGAAACAGGAGATGAGGGGCCCTCCCTGGACAGGAGCAGGTTGGTTGTCAGGTGTTTGGAGCCTAGTAGGTATGTCAGGTTCGCAGCCCAGACCATGCCTGGCAGGATGGGAAGGTGAGGGTCGAGGATACTGTTTGTCTGCTCAGATCTGAATCCCAAGACCTCAAGCTTCATCTGCCGGAGACCTCAACTTTCTCTGGCTGGGAGGTCTATGCAGATGCTCCCATGTCCCAAATCTTGTTGAGGAAGGGGTAGGCAGGGAGGAGTTTTAATGGGTGTGTCCCACTGTGGGGTCAGCCAGGCAGGCCACTGACACCTCTTGGTCCGGCTCTCGGGCACTCTCTTTGCAGAGCTCTACACAGCGGATCAAGTAGGAGCTGTTGGATGGATTTCATTTCTCCATCTTCTTTAAGGGACAGGTGCACCATGCCCCAACAACGGCCAGTGCTGGTCTGGGGTGAGATTGGGCACAGAACGGTCTCCATAGACAGGGACTAGAGAAAACTAGGGTGGGCCGAAGACTCAAACATGAATATGGGGACTCCCTAAGCTCTAGGGCTTTCACACTTGAGTGAGCCACTGTCCTCTCCCAAAGAAATCTGGCTGCCATCAGTCCCCAGTGGCAACTTGGTTACAGGCAAAGTCCCTCTCGCCTATCAGAGGAAGATCAGAGAAAATCCATCTGTTTTCACTTTATGCTATGCCAGGAGTATCTCAGCATGTTGCCACAAGAATTGAGTACAGTGATAACACTATAG